AATATGAACTATAATATCCATATATAAACATTATTTACAAATATATTTCCTGATAAAATGATCATACTATACCAAATTATATATATAGGGCTTTACAGAAAAATCATGTCATATAAATTATCACAAAATGTTATTATGAACCATTGATCAATTGTCATTTTACTTATGTAAAATTTTTTTTATTATACTAATGCTACATAACTGCACTTGTACACATACCAACTCTAAAACCATCTAATGCAGTAATAAAATTATCTTCATTCAAACATTTTCAAACAAACATGCCTAATTCTTTATGTATTTATTTATTTATTTCTTATTGTTGTGAGCTTTCAAAATCAAATTTGTTCTTTTGATAGAACAAATTTGATTTTGAAAGCTCACATACATTTTGTTACATAAATCAAATACATTCTAGAAAAACTGTTAGGCATTTGTTCTTTTATTGAATAGAATGTTACTTTTCTTAAAGATCATTTAAGACAATTGATAATGTTTGAATAACAATAGTTTTATTACTGCATTAGATGGTTTTAGATGTGGTTTATTTTTTTTTATACTTATGGTATTAAAAAATTATTACATTTAAATATGGAAAATCAAAAAATTAATTATTTCAAAGCTATTAAACTTTTTCCAAAATATATAATTGTTATATTTATTAATAGAAAAAACAGTACAACATATTATTCATCAATAATAATAATANTTTATACTTATGGTATTAAAAAATTATTACATTTAAATATGGAAAATCAAAAAATTAATTATTTCAAAGCTATTAAACTTTTTCCAAAATATATAATTGTTATATTTATTAATAGAAAAAACAGTACAACATATTATTCATCAATAATAATAATAATAACTACATATTTTAAATTAGTCTAGACTTATTATGAATATATAAATAAATATATCTTAGCTGTTTTTAGTACAGCAAGTCTTCACTTAACATTATTGATAGGTTCTTGAAAACTTTGACATTATGCAAAATTATGCATATTGAAACCAATTTTACTACAGGCTAAATAACAAACAAAATATAATACATTTAATGTTATTGTAATTGGGTCATGTTTGCAATCTCCAGCATTAATTTCCCACCTAATAAAATCAATTTTACTGTTTATAAAGAAAATTTAACAATGATAATTGTAAATGATTACAAGCATACAGTATCTTTCTTCTATGATGTTATAATAAAACAATATTAAACAAAAGAATGTAAAGAGAGGACTTGCCATATTTTATTTTGCTTATAAATAGGTATTACAAATTTTAAAATTACTTTAAATGTATTTATTAACATTTTGTAGCATTGAACTTTTTCATCTAAATATACAAATAATGTTTTATTTTATGTTAATTTAGCTATTTAAAAAATAAACACATTGCATTCCTATTGAAAATATAAATTTTTTGCATTGAATTCACATTACCAACTTTTAGTTAATTAGAAATTCAGTTTATACAGATATTACACCTTAATCTTATTATATAATAGTTTACTATTTCTTATTATAGAAAAATTATAATAAGAAATAGTAAAAAAAATCAGATACATTAATAATTAGACTTAACATATTAAGTTTTAAATATAGTAGCCCCTCATTATATTGTGAATTCAAATATATCAATGTTTTTTTTTGGTCCCCCAAATTTTAAGAGCACTTGAATCAATAAATTTTAAATTATCAATTGCCATTGAATTTCTTTTAGCAATAAAATACAGTATTTTATTCCTACCATTGTCCTGAAAACTACCATTGCAAGTGAAACAATAAATTCATCAAGATCTAAATAAGATCAATTATCATTTATGTTTCCTTTTGATATTAAAAGTTGTTTATTTATTGGTTTTAAGTACAGTCTCCTCATTTACAAGTTTCTGTGAATTTGAAATTTCACACCTTTATGTGAATTGACAGTATTGGGTCAATTCACAAAAAGGTGTGAAATTTGAATTCACTGCTTAATGTGTAAGGAAAAGATTTCTTTATTCCTGAATAGAAAGTTCTAAAACTTTTATACATTAGTAACTTCATTTTTCTTTTTTAGAGAATTTTTGTTATTTGTAATTTTATAAGTTTTGATAGATTATATATCCAATATTTTTTTTTTAATTTTCAATTACTATATTTATAATTTTTATTGAAAAATATAAATTACATGACTTTTTAATAAGTGATTTATTATAAAATATAGTACTGTATAATAAAATCGCAACTGATATTCTGTTTTTATATTGACAGTATTTGTCTTTAAATGTCATTGTTAAAGAAACAATAATGCTAAATGGGCGTACGTGGTATCAATGTTTATGTAAANAAATAGTAAAAAAAATCAGATACATTAATAATTAGACTTAACATATTAAGTTTTAAATATAGTAGCCCCTCATTATATTGTGAATTCAAATATATCAATGTTTTTTTTTGGTCCCCCAAATTTTAAGAGCACTTGAATCAATAAATTTTAAATTATCAATTGCCATTGAATTTCTTTTAGCAATAAAATACAGTATTTTATTCCTACCATTGTCCTGAAAACTACCATTGCAAGTGAAACAATAAATTCATCAAGATCTAAATAAGATCAATTATCATTTATGTTTCCTTTTGATATTAAAAGTTGTTTATTTATTGGTTTTAAGTACAGTCTCCTCATTTACAAGTTTCTGTGAATTTGAAATTTCACACCTTTATGTGAATTGACAGTATTGGGTCAATTCACAAAAAGGTGTGAAATTTGAATTCACTGCTTAATGTGTAAGGAAAAGATTTCTTTATTCCTGAATAGAAAGTTCTAAAACTTTTATACATTAGTAACTTCATTTTTCTTTTTTAGAGAATTTTTGTTATTTGTAATTTTATAAGTTTTGATAGATTATATATCCAATATTTTTTTTTTAATTTTCAATTACTATATTTATAATTTTTATTGAAAAATATAAATTACATGACTTTTTAATAAGTGATTTATTATAAAATATAGTACTGTATAATAAAATCGCAACTGATATTCTGTTTTTATATTGACAGTATTTGTCTTTAAATGTCATTGTTAAAGAAACAATAATGCTAAATGGGCGTACGTGGTATCAATGTTTATGTAAATGTCAATTAATATGATATAACCATGAGTAAAATTCAGTATTGAAAAACTAAACTTATTTTATATCAGAAACACTTGCTGATGAAAGAATAGAGATTCCATTGCATGTATAATCTGTTTAGTAAAAAGCTCAGAATTTTTAGTACTTGATTATATCATGTTTTTACTGTATCTCCCGACAAGCATGATATAACAAGGGACTACAGTACCATAATTTTGTGTGGATAACTCAAAGAATATCTGTATTTGAAAGACAATTTGAAAATAGGTGCAGGTTATGCAATGATGTAAATTATCTGTTTCTTATAATTTGTAATTACAAAGTAATCAAATAGTTTTTCCTCTGTCTAAACTTATCAAGAACATCTTTAGAAACTGTGAAAAACCCTGCAAAAAAGTGCCACAGACCTGACATTGTAATTTTTCATGAAACCACCAAAGACATTAATATAAAATGTATTTTTACAATGTATAAAATAAAATTATTATTAAATAACTTTTGAATCATAAAATAACTTTTTTTACTGTATTCTAGACAATAAAAAAAGAAAGAAATTATTGTATAATGTTTTCTAAACAATAACTGAATGAATATAACAATTTCTGCATCTTATTCAATGGTCTAACCATTAATCCACAGAATTTTTACCATAACAGGAAACATCTTTCATTGAAAAAGGTATAGTTTTCAACAGAGAATAAAAACTGTAATTGACTGAAATTCATGTAACTGGGTATTATTGATATTAAAATTATTTTCTAATTATTTTTCTGAGTAAATTTTAGCATTTATAATTATTAATAATTAATTACTGTATATAAATAAAAATGTAAATGTTCGTTTGTTCAAAATCTTAAATTTCTAAAAGTTCTTCACAGATTGCTTTGAAATTTTGACACAACGTTGCATTCAAATATGTGCATGCTTTTATATCAAAATTCCCCCGAGGGGAGAGGTAGAAAATTAAGGCTTTAACCTGAAGAATGGCTTCTATTGTACTATTTTAGATGTAATTTTTTGTTTCCGTGGTGATAACTTAATTTCCAAACATACAATATTTACGTTTTATGATTTTTTAACCAAATGTTCAAACTGTTTTAATTTAAATTCAAATTTGTTATTGTATATTGGTTTGATTATAGAATGATTGTAAATGTTCCAGATAATTGATCAGATTGAAAATGTTCCTTTGAAGCAGTAAAATGATTCTCAGCAATAAGGGGTATGTGTTATATAACGTTGTTATAAATTAAATAATTACTATGGTTGTTGAAAAACTGAATATAAATGGTGTTATGATGCCCCATACCATCATTCCAATTATACATGATGGAGCTTGCCTCTTTAGAGTAATATCCTTTGTTTTATATGACATTCAAGTGATGGCCAAAGAAGTATGCACAGAAATAGTGGCTTATGTGATGAATCACTGGGATGATTTTTCAAGAGAGGGTTATTTCTATCAAATTGCAAAATCTGTGCGGGCGAAGCACTGGGTTAGCTAGTGATAAATAAAACAGAAATAAAATGACGCAATTAGCAACTTTTGTCATTTGGTACCATTTCATATTTTCAATACAAAGTTTAGGAGTTTCTTTCTCCTTATTTTATAATTACATCTACAGTAAACTACTAACAGAAATAAAACAAAAAATCAATATTTCATTGTTTGAGATGGTATCTTCTAAACTGCATACTGGTGTCATGCTTACAATTACAACTCTGGAAGCACAAGGTGTACAATGGTGTAAATTATGCAAAGGATTTATTTTCATTCTAATAATTTTGTGTGAGGTATATGCCACTACAGACTATCCACACAAAATTATAGTAATATATTAGAAAGTAATCCAAAACTATGATTATTTTAATATTTACTTACTGATGCACATTATATGCTTGCATCCAAGGATTATTTTCACTATGATCATTCTGATGAGTCACTTTCTATAATTAAAAAATATAGATATTATATATAGAAAATTTGCTTTATAAGATAAGTAAATTAGTTTTTATGAAATATATATTTAAATCTACACTTAAAATCAGTCAATTCATTCTATAATTATGTGCAGTTGACCCCCCTATAACACTGTTGATAATTCTGTTTTATATGAATTCCATGTTGTACGAGTCACTTAGATTTTACAAATACATGAGCTGTTCACAGCCCGGCACACATATTTGTAAAATCTAAGTGACTCATACAACATGGAATTCATATAAAACAGAATTATCAACAGTGTTATAGGGGGGTCAACTGCACATAATTATAGAATGAATTGACTGATTTTAAGTGTAGATTTAAATATATATTTCATAAAAACTAATTTACTTATCTTATAAAGCAAATTTTCTATATATAATATCTATATTTTTTAATTATAGAAAGTGACTCATCAGAATGATCATAGTGAAAATAATCCTTGGATGCAAGCATATAATGTGCATCAGTAAGTAAATATTAAAATAATCATAGTTTTGGATTACTTTCTAATATATTACTATAATTTTGTGTGGATAGTCTGTAGTGGCATATACCTCACACAAAATTATTAGAATGAAAATAAATCCTTTGCATAATTTACACCATTGTACACCTTGTGCTTCCAGAGTTGTAATTGTAAGCATGACACCAGTATGCAGTTTAGAAGATACCATCTCAAACAATGAAATATTGATTTTTTGTTTTATTTCTGTTAGTAGTTTACTGTAGATGTAATTATAAAATAAGGAGAAAGAAACTCCTAAACTTTGTATTGAAAATATGAAATGGTACCAAATGACAAAAGTTGCTAATTGCGTCATTTTATTTCTGTTTTATTTATCACTAGCTAACCCAGTGCTTCGCCCGCACAGATTTTGCAATTTGATAGAAATAACCCTCTCTTGAAAAATCATCCCAGTGATTCATCACATAAGCCACTATTTCTGTGCATACTTCTTTGGCCATCACTTGAATGTCATATAAAACAAAGGATATTACTCTAAAGAGGCAAGCTCCATCATGTATAATTGGAATGATGGTATGGGGCATCATAACACCATTTATATTCAGTTTTTCAACAACCATAGTAATTATTTAATTTATAACAACGTTATATAACACATACCCCTTATTGCTGAGAATCATTTTACTGCTTCAAAGGAACATTTTCAATCTGATCAATTATCTGGAACATTTACAATCATTCTATAATCAAACCAATATACAATAACAAATTTGAATTTAAATTAAAACAGTTTGAACATTTGGTTAAAAAATCATAAAACGTAAATATTGTATGTTTGGAAATTAAGTTATCACCACGGAAACAAAAAATTACATCTAAAATAGTACAATAGAAGCCATTCTTCAGGTTAAAGCCTTAATTTTCTACCTCTCCCCTCGGGGGAATTTTGATATAAAAGCATGCACATATTTGAATGCAACGTTGTGTCAAAATTTCAAAGCAATCTGTGAAGAACTTTTAGAAATTTAAGATTTTGAACAAACGAACATTTACATTTTTATTTATATACAGTAATTAATTATTAATAATTATAAATGCTAAAATTTACTCAGAAAAATAATTAGAAAATAATTTTAATATCAATAATACCCAGTTACATGAATTTCAGTCAATTACAGTTTTTATTCTCTGTTGAAAACTATACCTTTTTCAATGAAAGATGTTTCCTGTTATGGTAAAAATTCTGTGGATTAATGGTTAGACCATTGAATAAGATGCAGAAATTGTTATATTCATTCAGTTATTGTTTAGAAAACATTATACAATAATTTCTTTCTTTTTTTATTGTCTAGAATACAGTAAAAAAAGTTATTTTATGATTCAAAAGTTATTTAATAATAATTTTATTTTATACATTGTAAAAATACATTTTATATTAATGTCTTTGGTGGTTTCATGAAAAATTACAATGTCAGGTCTGTGGCACTTTTTTGCAGGGTTTTTCACAGTTTCTAAAGATGTTCTTGATAAGTTTAGACAGAGGAAAAACTATTTGATTACTTTGTAATTACAAATTATAAGAAACAGATAATTTACATCATTGCATAACCTGCACCTATTTTCAAATTGTCTTTCAAATACAGATATTCTTTGAGTTATCCACACAAAATTATGGTACTGTAGTCCCTTGTTATATCATGCTTGTCGGGAGATACAGTAAAAACATGATATAATCAAGTACTAAAAATTCTGAGCTTTTTACTAAACAGATTATACATGCAATGGAATCTCTATTCTTTCATCAGCAAGTGTTTCTGATATAAAATAAGTTTAGTTTTTCAATACTGAATTTTACTCATGGTTATATCATATTAATTGACATTTACATAAACATTGATACCACGTACGCCCATTTAGCATTATTGTTTCTTTAACAATGACATTTAAAGACAAATACTGTCAATATAAAAACAGAATATCAGTTGCGATTTTATTATACAGTACTATATTTTATAATAAATCACTTATTAAAAAGTCATGTAATTTATATTTTTCAATAAAAATTATAAATATAGTAATTGAAAATTAAAAAAAAAATATTGGATATATAATCTATCAAAACTTATAAAATTACAAATAACAAAAATTCTCTAAAAAAGAAAAATGAAGTTACTAATGTATAAAAGTTTTAGAACTTTCTATTCAGGAATAAAGAAATCTTTTCCTTACACATTAAGCAGTGAATTCAAATTTCACACCTTTTTGTGAATTGACCCAATACTGTCAATTCACATAAAGGTGTGAAATTTCAAATTCACAGAAACTTGTAAATGAGGAGACTGTACTTAAAACCAATAAATAAACAACTTTTAATATCAAAAGGAAACATAAATGATAATTGATCTTATTTAGATCTTGATGAATTTATTGTTTCACTTGCAATGGTAGTTTTCAGGACAATGGTAGGAATAAAATACTGTATTTTATTGCTAAAAGAAATTCAATGGCAATTGATAATTTAAAATTTATTGATTCAAGTGCTCTTAAAATTTGGGGGACCAAAAAAAAACATTGATATATTTGAATTCACAATATAATGAGGGGCTACTATATTTAAAACTTAATATGTTAAGTCTAATTATTAATGTATCTGATTTTTTTTACTATTTCTTATTATAATTTTTCTATAATAAGAAATAGTAAACTATTATATAATAAGATTAAGGTGTAATATCTGTATAAACTGAATTTCTAATTAACTAAAAGTTGGTAATGTGAATTCAATGNAGTAGACACAGGTTTATTATGACAACAGTATGCATTTCAGATAGGCTGTCTGTCTTTCTTCAGCTGTATTTGTTACAATTTCATGGGTTTACAGGTATTTAAAAGGGACATTCTATTTTGTTGCTAATGCATAGATGACTTCATTTTCAGGATTAGTAGCATTGCTTCTGTAGTAGAAAACATTGTACGAGCTGACTGCGAAAACTTTATTTATTTCACAATTAATTTCATTAAGTAACAATTATAATCTTCTGGTTGCTATTTGTATGGAAAACATAATATAACATCTGTGAAAAATCCTGAAAAGGAAGTCATCCACACATTAGTAACATAATAGAATGTACCTTTTAAATACCTGTAAACCCACCAAATTGTAACAAATACAGCTGAAGAGGGACAGACAGCCTGTCCAAAATGCACACCGTCATCATAACAAACCAGTGTCTATCCACTTTTGTGTGATTACTCTGACAATGCTAATAGTGTGTGATAAGTCCTCCACAGAGCCAAAAACTTGTTGCTCATAGATTCATATTGTAATATAAGGACAAAAAACAAATCACTAATAAATTATTTATTGATAAAATACAAATCTAAACTTTTTAAATATGGGTATCCCTTGTACAACACGATACTTCTATAATATAGTTTTGCTCTAACACACAGTTTGAAAATTGGGGAAATACCCTGTACAACACAACTTCCAGTTTCACTCTAAAACAGTTTTGGAAATCATCCATAAAAAGTTTCACAATTTTTAAGTGTAAATTTTATTTGATATTTTTTTTATTCGAGTAAGCATGCATGTTGTCTCAAATTTGCTGATGGATTTTAAAATATTGAAATTCTCAAATTATTTTGTGCTTTTTGTCAGGTTTACTTTAATGAAAACTGCTAGAACAAGGAAGAAAAAAAATTGCACTAACTTTCCTATCAACCAGGTATCATTGTGATTGCTCTCAGACTTTAGCCCTTAAGACTGACACTGTGTTTTGTTTATATAAATTAATCTTTGTATTTAATAAAGTTTATTTAAATATTTTTAGGTAAATGTTACTAAACTTTTTTTCACCACAGATAAGCAATCATTCATAAAAATGACAAACAAAATACAGCAGTACCTTGGCACTCAAATTGTTCCCAACTGAAAAAATTCGATATTTGAAAAGAAATTCTAAAAAAATTGTTCAGTACTCAAATGAACAAACATAAGCTCTAGAACAAATTTTTGATTAACAACATATTTTTATTTTGTAATCCATAAAAGATTTTAAAAAAATGACAATGTTACCGTTATTTCTGATCATAATCAACAAAAAAGCGCAGAAGACAACAATAAAAATAAAAATTTTTCTGTTCTTAGTAATCATAATGAAAAAAAAACCCTCATTTAACTAAAATTAATATTAATAGTATTTTTAATTATGCTTGTTAGTTAATTATTGATTGAAAATAAAGTATTGATTGCTTTAATAAACACATTCCTCTTAGTAACAAAAAAGAATAGTATACTTTTATTAACTTTTAGAACCTAACCCTATGTTTTACATTAGTCCTTTGTTTTGTATGACGGATTCAGATAACATGGCACTTTTTCAGAACCTATCTACTGTGTTATATGAGGGATGCCTGTATATAAAATTGTTTACTGTTTAAAATTGTTCAATAGTTAATTAAAAACTACGTTGTTTCAAATGTAAATAAAACAAGAATATATACATAAAAAATAATTTTCTGCTGAAATGCAGATAATAATTCATATTCAAATTAAATTTAACTAAAAACTAAGCAATCTTTTGTGATATTCCAGCTAACAAATAAAATGAACTAAATAGGTACAGTACTTTTATGAATTTTTTCAAAAAATGTAAAATTGGATAAAAACTTTCCAATTTAAAGAACATTTCTGAAGAATAATTTCTGAGTAAATCAGAATTATGGATACTTGTCCTTGCATGCAATACTCCCATTACTTTTTCTTCATTTAATGCAATTATATCGATAATTACTTTAAATGAAGATAAAAGACATTAATAATTAATTAAAAATTAAATACTTGTTTCTTTTGAAAGGTTTTTATATCACACTTTAAAGTTTTAAAAGATTCCTTGATGTCAATATTGTATATTAGCAATTGTATTTGATGGTAAAAATTTAGCTGATACAGTTATTCAACTAGTAATCATTAAATATGCATTGCAGCTGTCAATAAAAATAATAATTTTTCTGTTTGTGGCAATCATGTAGGTATCTAACCTTTTCAACAACTTAGAAAAAAAAGCTCTGATGTCATTCTTCTTTCTTATATGCTGTATATTTAATGTCTTGGCATTCAGAAACATTGAAGCTTTAAAGATTTTCCAATCAATAACAATGGCAGTGCTTTCATTAAATGTATAATTTTTTCACATCATACAGTATTGTACTAACATAAATATAAGAAAACTGTGATGCAAAAACAAAATTCATTTTAACTGATTTCATTGGCAATTATACTGTAGACAGTATAAAAAATGTGTAATGAATATAAAAGTGTGTTATTTAAATAAAGAAATTTAATAGATTAGGAGTGTTTAAATTTTGAGCTAATCTAAATTAAACTCCTAATACAATTGAACAATTACAATGTAAAAGTAATTCAGCAGTCAATAAAATTAATCATAACATATCAAATTTTGTTTTTAATTTTCTAAAACTCTGATGAAATTTTAATTGCCCTGGAAAGTCGAATAAAAAATGAAATAATAGTGTCCTTAGAATATGCATTATCCCATATTAATGTAGAAAATAAAGATAA